TTTTCATGGACAATATTCAGACCAGTAAAATGAATGTGTGTTGGAAGTCCCTAACTAAATTTCATTTTGGAAAAAAATGGTCCTGCTGAACAGAATTCTTTCATCATGCACAAGTCTGTTAAGCATCGCAGAGTTACTTCATACTCAATATCCATGCGCAGATGCATAATTATAGGTGTTTAACTGTCAGTCTTAACCCATATTAACTCATCCATGGTTCAAATGTAATATGATAACAGATAAGTGCTGTCAGTATCAATGTTCAATGTTCACCTGTAATTAATTGTTCTCTTTTTTTAAATTTTGTTATACTTCTTGTATGCTGCTAAAAAAATACTGTACTACAATAATATTTATTTTAAATGAGGAATATTTTACTGTCATTTCTCCCTGCTGTATTTTTATGCTATATATAATAACAGTAATATTAGTTGGATAATATGCACGCAAGTCACCTAAATATAATATAAAACACCGGAATCTACAGATATTGCATAAAAAGTGGCTAATTGCCCATACAATCTTCATATGTGAAAACTCTTTTCCCATACATTTTAATATTCCTGGTAGTAGTTTGAAGGAAACTGGGAAAAATCGAGTCGTAAAGGCCTGCTTATTTGGTCCATGCAACATATACAATATATTAGTACTATGTCTAAATAAAGCAAAAATATCTTCCACATACTTTCAATCATATACAGAATAAGTTCAAAATTTCCATCTGCAATCCTATTAGTATTGTTGTATAGTACTAATAATTCTGAATATTATGGACAATATTATGTTCTTCATGCAATGTAAAAAGAAAGGATCATTTTTCATACAATTTGTATGATTCAAAGAGTTATTTTGAAAATCTAGCTTTTTTTCATTTCATTCTACACAACTGAAATGTACTGGAAAGAAAAGGTAAATGGATTAATTACCTTTTCAGTGTAAGAGAATAAAAAGAAGTGTCTTGTCTTTATCTCCTCTGATTTCAATGACTGACTAGAGGCTTTTCGGATACACTTATTCCTCTAATGACTTAATCACCTAATTAGATAGCTTGCAAAGGCCACTGGCAAATGAGCAGAGGTATTTTCTAATTCCCATGTATGTTCTTCCAAAGCAAAGGACTCCGATTTACTCCATGTGATTTTTCTATTTAGATCATGCAGATAAAGAGTTAAGATTAAAGCAAAATAAACTCTTTCAACAGGAAATACCACATAGCTAATACTTTGCTAGTTTTATTTTAAAATGTCTCCAGCTTTTGAACAACAAAGGTATTTTAGGATTTTCGATTTAAGCCACTTAAAAACAATCCCTATACAGCAGTTTTAAATAAACCCTTAATTGTATCAAGGTTTAGCTGTTAGAACTGCCAGGATGTGCTTATGCTATCTACACTAGTAGTGTTTATACTGTTGATCTGCTCCCAGTTTTTTCCAGCAGATTCTGTAAAGAGGATCATTTTGAAGTTGCTGTTGTTCCGTTGTTACTGGCCATATACTCAACTATACAATTTAGTAACAATTCAAAGACGAATAATAGAGTAATCTATTTTCTTACTTGACAAGTGCAAGTGCTTTAGGTTATGTTTTGCTGTTATGTTGCAATGTGTCATGTTTTCTGTTGTACTGTAAAATAAATAAGGTGATTTTTATTGTGAAACTTGTTGAACTTGTGAAACTAAAAAAATGGAGAAACATTCTGCCTTTTCAGAAAAAAGATATCGGCACATGTGCCTACATGAATGTAAATAAAATGAATTATAGCTATCAGATTTGTGCACAGCAAGAATTTGTTTCGGGTAAACTATTTTTTTCCAAAAACAAATACATTATGGCCATATGTCAGTTCGGCTCTACAGAACTCAGAAACAAAACAACAATTCGGAAAGTGAATCAGACAAACCTAAAGGGTGTGAAATGGGCCAATCAGTGTACTGCAAAATATATACATATTACTATAAACAGTAAGCTCATTTAAGCAGGGTCTTCGCCGATCTATTGTTCCTGTAACATTTTGTAATTATCTCATTAATTGCTATATTTCCCCCTTTATAATATTGTAAATTGCTCCAGAATAAGTTGACGCTATACAAATGCCAAAAATCATAATAACAATAATAATATTATAAATATTATGGAAATATTTTGCAGTACACCGATAGGAAGATTTTCCCACTATTTGGTTACATATCAAGTGACAAAAAGTAGCCAATGTAGGTAAAAACAGGATAAGTGTTATTTTTTTATTAGATATATGATATATAAATATAGATTAATTTTACTGCTCCTTCCCCCCCCCCCTCTCATTTGCTTATTTCTCACTTGATCTGAGAATAAAAACAACATTTACTGACTGTCCCAGAGCCCTCAATAATTTTTAATCTCATCAGCCTTCTCTTTTATTTGGCACCACTATTATAATTTAGAATCATGATTAAAAATGAACATGTTTGGCCATTGCACGTTTCATTTGGTATGTGATTCGGCTAAATTTTGGCTCAGTGTAAGGGAATTTGAGTGATTGCCCGATCAGCCGATTGTGTCGATTTGCAGTTTGAAACGAAACTAATCTTCAAGCCTATTATCTGGAATATTTATGGTACCCAGTTCCTGGCTTATTTACAGAAATATCATATTACACAAAATCAAAACTGATTCTGTGCCATAAAGGGTCTTAGATCTGCATTTCATGTGAAGCTTGATAAAAATGAGGTCCAAGCCGTCCTTTTATTAAAAAGAGCTAATGTTTCTCCTTGACAAATACCAATGTTTCTTTTTACCCTTACATTTGTAATTTGTTAGATCATACCTCCCAACATTTCATTTGAACAAAGAGGGGTACTTTTATATGAAGGGTGTGAATTGGGATGTGACCAGGGAGAGACTATTTGAACATCTAGGTGACCTTCTATTAACTATTGATGTGACTAAAATGTAATTTAGAAAATAATAATGTGTTCTATTTACAGACTGATTTCTAAACACATTTTTTTGTAGTTTGAAGACATATTACTATGAGTATAATTGCTGTGTAGCTCTGGTCTAAATTTACAGAGTAATTCATTAAACACTGTTTTTTTTTGTCCAAATTAAATTCTGTCCAGAATGGCAATTCTCATATTTCAATCTGACCACATGAGCATTGGGCGGGTACTTCAAATTAAATAATGGTCTAGAGACTCTCTTTGTGGTCATGTGACCATATATTTCAAGGGGAGTGTTTATTTGCTTCCATCAGCAATTACAAGACAATGGTTTGGACAAGTATTTTGATAATTATTAAATTGCTTGTTAGGATTTACGGTTGGGGGAATATATATATCACTATATTGTGATTGTATTATGACTTGACGAAGACCATATTTTTTTGGCCAATCTGTAGTCACAGTTGCTTGATGTTCCTATTACAGCCTGCATTTAAGAGTATGTGTCCCCAGACTCCTTACCTATGGATCTGATGTGCATTTGGAGATTTAGAGCACCAATGAATTATTGCAATTTTGATGTTTATCACGAGTGAAGTCCCTTTTCTCTGTGAATTGAATTAAGACCTACTTGCACCACCTTTATAGGATTCACATACCCACCCCTTTAACCCCTTAGTGACCAGACCACTTTTCAATTTTCTTACCGTTTGGGACCAGGGCTGTTTTTACATTTCTGCAGTATTTGTGTTTAGCTGTACTTTTCCTCTTACTCATTTAATGTATAAACACATATTATATACCGTTTTTCTCTCCATTAGATGGTCTTTCTAAAGATATTATTATTTTTATCATATCATATAATTTACTTTAACCCCTTAAGGACTGGACTGTTTTTGCGATGTACATTTGCGACCAGGCATCTTTTTTACACTTTTGTGGTGTTTGTGTTTGGCTGTAATTTTCTGCTCTCTCATTTACTGTTCCCATACAAATTATATATTGGTTTTTTTCAGGACAAAAGGGGCTTTCTTTACATACCATTATTTATATAATCTCATGTAATTTAAAAAAAATGAAAAAATATGATGAAAAATGGAAAAAAATACATGTTTTTTTACTTTTACGTGAAAAATCTTTTACTCATCTACAAAAGCGAATGAAAAAAACTGCTAAATAGATTCAAAATGTTGTCCTGAGTTTAAAAATACACAGTGTTTACATGCTTTTTTGCTATTTTTTTGCATGTTATAGGGCTATAAGGGATATACAGTATGTTTTACTGTTTTGAAACACTAATATTTGTGTTCAGCGAAGTCTATCAAGTAAAACAGTACCCTCCATGTACAGGTTTTAGGGTGTCTTGGAAACTTACAGGGTTAAATATAGTGCTAGCAAATTAAATTCTCTGGACTTTTGACCTGGGTTGCCAGGCAGGTCCCCCAAATTGCAATCAATAAAATTACTTAATTATAGAAACATAGAATGTGACGGCAGATAAGAAACATTCGGCCCATCTAGTCTGCTCAATTTTCTAAATACTTTAATTAGTCCCTGGCCTTATCTTATAGTTAGGATAGCCTTATGCCTATCCCACGCATGCTTAAAGTCCTTTACTGTGTTAACCTCTACCACTTCAGCTGGAAGGCTATTCCATGCATCCACTACCCACTCAGTAAAGTAATACTTCCTGATATTATTTTTAAACCTTTGTCCCTCTAATTTAAGACTATGTCCTCTTGTTGTGGTAGTTTTTCTTCTTTTAAATATAGTCTCCTCCTTTACTGTGTTGATTCCCTTTATGTATTTAACCCCTTAAGGATACAACTTCTGGAATAAAAGGGAATCTTGACAGAATATTTCCGTCATGTGTCCTTAAGGGGTTAAATGTTTCTATCATATCCCCCCTGTCTCGTCTTTCCTCCAAGCTATACATGTTAAGATCCTTTAACCTTTCCTGGTAAGTGTTATTCCGCAATCCATGAACCAGTTTAGTAGCCCTTCTCTGAAGCCTCTCTAAGGTATCAATATCCTTCTGAAGATACGGTCTCCAGTACTGTGTACAATACTCCAAGTGAGGTCTCACCAGTGTTCTGTACAATGGCATAAGCACTTCCCTCTTTCTACTGCCAATACCTCTCCCTATACAACCAAGCATTCTGCTAGCATTTCCTGCTGCTCTATTACATTATCTGCCTACCTTTAAGTCATCAGAAATAATCACCCCTAAATCCTTTTCCTCATATGTTGAGGTTAGGACTCTATCAAATATTATTTACTCTGCCCTTGGGTTTTTACGTCCAAGATGCATTATCTTGCACTTATCCACATAAAATGTCAGTTGCCACAATTCTGACCATTTTTCTAGTTTGCCTAAATCATTTTCCATTTGGCTTATACCTCCTGGAACATCAACCCTGTTACATATCTTAGTATCATCAGCAAAAAGACATACCTTACCATCAAGACCTTCTGCAATATCACTAATAAAAATAGTAAAGAGAATGGGTCCAAGTACAGATCCCTGATGTACCCCACTGGTGTTAAGTCCAAGCTTCGAATATATTCCATTAACTACAACCCTCTGATGCCTGTCACTCAGCCACTGCCTTACCCATTCAACAATATTGGAAATCTAGGTAAGCAATGTCTACTGCACCACCCTGATCTGTAATTTTAGTTACCCAATCAAAAAAATCAATAAGATTAGCTTGGCATGATCTCCCTGAAGTAAGCCCATGTTGTCTCTGATCTTGTTTTTAGATGTTCAACAATCCTATCCTTTAAAATGGTTTCCATCACTTTCCCCACTACTGAAGTAAGGCTTACCGGCCTATAGTTGCCCGACTCCTCCCTATTACCTTTCTTGTGAATGGGCACAACATTCGCTAACTTCCAATCTTCTGGGACTACTCATGTTAACAATGATTGGTTAAATAAATCTGTTAATGGTTTTGCTAATACACCACTAAGCTCTTTTAATAGCTTTGGGTGTATTCCATCAGGTCCCATTGACTTATTTGTCTTTACTTTTGACAGTTGAAATAGAACCTCTTCCTCTGTAAACTCACGTGTAATAAATGACTTGTTTATCCTTTTTCTTAACTGAGGTACCTTTCCTTCATTTTCATCTATAAATACAGAACAAAAATATTCATTGAGGCAGTCAGCTAGACCTTTATCCTCTTCTACATGCCTTCCTTCTTTTGTTTTTAATCTAACTAATCCTTGTTTTATTTTTATTTTCTCATTTATGTATCTAAAAAAAGTTTTGTCCCCCTTTTTTACTGACTGTGCTATTTTCTCTTCTGTGTGTGATTTGGAAGCTCTTATAACTTGCTTAGCCTCTTTCTGCCTAATCGTATAGATCATTTTGTCTTACTCACTCTGGTTTTTTTTATAATTACTAAATGCTAACTTTTTGTTTTTAACTATTTTGGCCACATCTGCGGAGTACCACAGTGGTTTCTTGAATTTTTTGCTTTTACTAACAAGCCTAATGCAATTTTCTGTTGCCTTCAGTAGTGCGACTTTTAAATAATCCCATTTCTCTTGGACTCCATTTATATTGCTCCAGTCTGATAATGACTCCTCTACACATATTCTAATTTTAGAAAAGTCTGTTTTTCTAAAGTCTAAAACTTGTTTTTGTGTGGTGTGACTCAGTCACTGTTCTTATATTAAACCACACTGACTGATGATCGCTGGATCCTAAACTTTCACCTACAGTAATATCTGATACCAAATCTCCATTTGTTAACACTAAATCTAGTATGGCCTCTTTACGAGTTGGCTCCTCAACGACTTGTTTTAGAGACAATCTCAGTAGGGAGTTTAGAATATGTGTGCTCCTGGCACAAGCAGCTATTTTTGTTTTCCAATTCACATCAGGAAGATTAAAGTCACCCATGATGATAACTTCCCCCTTCATTGTCATTTTAGCTATTTCCTCAACTAGTAGATTAACTCTTCAATTTTTCCTGGGGGGCCTATAAATCACACCTACACGAGTTACTGTGTGATTACCAAATTCTAACGTAACCCAAACGGACTCTATGCTCGCCTCACTAACTTTTTTTAGGCTAGATTTTTATGCTATCCTTCACATACAGGGCCACCCCTCCCCCTTTCTTGCTTTCCCTATCATTTCTATATAAAGAGTACCCTGGTTTAATACATAGATATGCACGTAAAATTTAAATATATATACATATTTATATATTTGAAGTCTACGTGTATATTTATGAAATTATTTATGTAATTATGTAAATGGATATATGTATATTTCGTAATATTTTTATTTATTTATATATACATGTATATATATATATATATATATATATAAAAATATATATATAGCAAAATCCAAATAGGTTATGGTGGGGAAAAATTGTGATTGAAAACCCCTTCCACCTGAAGTCTGTGGATAGTTAAGACAATGTTAAACAAATATTTGCACACCAGTCAAGCCATAAGACTTGCTTTTCCCACAGAAATCCCAAATCTGCAGTGATGTTACAACCGCAAAGGATTCTGGGTGGGCATATGCAAATTAGTTTAACATAGAATCACATTTTTGCCTCATTCCATTTTAAACATGGATTCTTTTTAATCTGTGTTTGCAGTATACAACTGCTTGCAACACAATTTAGGAAAAGATGCACAACCAGTGAACCACTCATGGACAGCTTTTTCGTTGTTAATGCAACTCTTCAGCATGAGGTTGGTCACTGGTTTGCTTATTGAGGCTTCGTAGTGCTTGGAAAGCAAAATCCAAACAGGTTATGGTGGGGAAAAATTGTGATTGAAAACCCCTTCCACCTGAAGTCTGTGGATAGTTAATACAATGTTAAACAAAAATCTGCACACCAGTCAAGCCATAAGACTTGCTTTTCCCACAGAAATCCCAAATCTGCAGTGATGTTACAACCGCAAAGGATTCTGGGTGGGCATATGCAAATTAGTTTCTGTGGGAAAAGTAAGTCTACTGCCTTAAACAAGGCCCAATCCTCCATACGAAGGTTTTTTTTTCCTAGCTTGGTCGGCAATAACCTCGGACACGTGGGTGCTAGACACGGTGCAAGATTTTCATATAGAGTGTGAGCACGCCTTCCAACTACCCAACCAATTTGTTTCTCCCTCAGAGAACGCAAGTTGATCGACGAGGAATTGTCAGCCCTCCGCGACAATCGAACTGGGGTCATAAGCAATATATTCCTGGTGGAAACAAAGGCGGACAAATGCGCCCTATCAACTTGTGCCTGCTCAATGCTAAGGTGCATTACCGCCATTTCAAAATGGAGGGCATCCATCTTCTGAGGGACCTACTCCTCTGCGCAGACTGGTTGGCGAAACTCGATTTGAAGGACGTGTATCTGACAGTCCGGGTTGCCGAACCTTCTCGAGATCAACTTCGCTTCCGTTGGAAGGACAGAGTTTGGCTCTTTATATGTCTCCCATTTGGTCTTTCCTCATCGCCCTGGTGCTTCACAAAGCTACTGCACCCGGTGATGGCCTGGCTACACACTCGGGGTGTGCACCTGATCGTATACCCGGACATCATCCTAATCATGGCCCTGGTGCGCTCTATCCATTTGCAACATCCGCGATGGACCGTAGCCCTACTCACCCGACTGGAATTAATCATCAACTGGGACAAGTCCTGCCTGACCCCATCCTGATGCATAGAATTTCTGGATTTCCGTGTTGATTCAGAGGGAGAATTGTTGAGCCTGCCGCCAGTCAAGATTCCGACAATTCACAAGGAACTGCGCGGGGCGCCTCTCCATCCATGGTTCACCCTGCGTCATTTGACACAGCTCATCGGACTGCTAGCCTCGTCTATCCAGGCAGTGTTCCCGGCTCCTCTCCACTACAGGGCTCTCCAGTGGTTAAAGATAGCTCATCTACGAGAGGGTGCGTCTTACGTGAATCTGCTTACCCTGGATGGCGAAACGAGGGCTGACCTACAGTGGTGGGTCCTCAATCTCTCTACGTGGCTGGCAGGGTGATATTTGGCAACCGGAATTCACCATAGACTTGGACATGAGTCTCCACTGGGGTGCCCACTGCGAAGGTGTGTCAAGGGGGGTCCTTGGTCGGACTCCGAATCCCGACTCCACATCAATTGCGTTGGAACTTCTGGCAGGTCTTTTTGCAATCTGGAGCTTTGCGAGGAACCAGGCACATGCGTGCATTCACCTCCGCATAAACAACATCTCCGCGATGGGATATGTCAACCACATGGGCCGCACACAATCGGCAGTCCTGGCCAAATTGGCAAAGGACTTTTGGGAGTACTGTCTGGCTCAAAATTTGGTGGTCCAAGCGGAGTATCTCCCGGGCGTACACAATATCCAGGTGGATTGGACTTCAAGGTATCTCTCAGACACTAAGACTGAAAATTTGATGCAGAGGTGTTCTCAGCTGTGTCGTCTATCTGGGGTCCTTTGGTTATCGACCTCTTTGCCTCATGGCTCAACCCACAGCTCCCATGATTTTTCAGCTGGAGACCAGACCCGACGGCGGAGGCCGTGGATGTCTTCCTGCAGGACTGGCATGGAGATCTCCTGTATGCATTCCCCCTGTTCTCCATGATTCCACGCATGCTTATTCAGGTTCGCCGCCAACTAGCTGAACAGGTGCTTGTGACTCCATTTTGGGGCTGCAGTTGTGGTTCCCTCAACTTCTGGAGATGTTGGTAGACTGTCCCAGGCTGTTGCCATCATTCCAAGGCCTGCTTTGTAATCCGACAGGAGGATGTCACCCACTACTGTGGAGGGATCCCTCCTTCTCATGGCATGGCGGATTTCGGGGGAACCCAGGAGGTCCAGGGAGTTTCGAAGACTACTCAACGATTGTTGGCGGATGCATTGGACTCCCGGAACTAGACAATCATATGGGTCAGCTTGGCGAGCTTGGGCTTGCTGGTGCCTGGCTAGGGACATGGATCCCATTT